ACATTGAATTTCGTTCTCTAAAAGCAGTTTTTGGGACGCCCATATTTGTTTTTAAATGTAAACATTTTGTGACTACATAAAGTGTCCTATATTTTAGTCTATTATGACACTTTTTAGTGTTATTTAAACCATTTTATAGGACTATGGAATTTGTATCATAATTCTAGAGTTTTTTAGGACACTCAAATTCATCCCATTAACCTAATATGACACCTTTAGATGAAAGACACATATTTTTTGTCGTATAAACTTAAAAGTCATATTAACTACCTTATTATAACACTAATTAGGGTCTTATAAACCCCTTTTTGTTGTCGTGCGGCCCATCATATTTACCCATGTCGGTATTTGATTGGAGGGACAAGAAAGGAGAAGAAGGGTAAGAGGTGAATTTTTTTTCCTAGAGTTGATAATTAGAGTGTAGAAATCCATATGTTCGTACTTATCCAGATACCAACTAATTTGTGTTCCACAAGACTTTTGCCAAACTCGTTTTTGCTATACATTTGAAGCAGTTAGTATTCCTATTTAATTATTGATGATCACTCAAGTTGTCAAGCATATTCGACCTAACGATAGCGATAACGTCAACGACAATACACAAGTTATTCTTAAACTCTCGATTTCGCCAGAACTCGTCTCGGCCTCTGCCCTCTCACCTATCCCTTTCCGTTCACTTATGGTCTCTACTCACTGCAAGTGCTAGCATCACTTCTTGGCGTCTTGGCATAGTCGACCCTACAATCCCTACTCAATCTTTTCGCCTGTTAGTTATATGAATTAAAAAGGTGAACTCATATACAATTCTAAACCCAACCTGGAAACTAAAAGCAAATTGCATCAAATTGGAATGTACTTTATTTGGAATCATATTCGAAAAACGTACTTTTAAAAGCTCAATTTTTGGAACATAACGTGTTTTTTTTTTATGCAATAAAGGTAGTGCATTATGTTTTTGATACAATTAAGAGAAAACACATTATAACTTGATGAATAAAAGATGAAGATATTATAAATTTGTGAAAAAATCATTCATACGAAAAAAGTATTAAACTTTATTGCTTAAAATGTTGTGTTGTAACAACTAATTAAAATGAAGCTTCTAAAAAGTAAGTTTCTCATAATGAAAAGACAACAAAATACCTTTCATTTTATATAATTTATCCATTTTGCATGGTTTCAGTGCCGTTTATGAGAGGGTGGGCCAGACATACGCCCAGGACTCATAAGAAATAGGAGCCCATTTTTTTTTCTCCATATATGTTATATAGTATACAGTAGTAATCCAAAAATATTAATAAATAAAAGGGACCCAAATTTTTTAGTTTCTAATAAGACCCAAAAAGAATTTAACATTATATTAAGGGTCCAAACATGTTTAATTAATTATATTGAAGAAAAAAATGTGAAAAAATAATTGGTTTTTCGTTTATTATATTCCTCGTTGTTTTCTCTAAAAAAATATCTACTATTAAAGTCTTAAACTAATTTGCTTAGAAAGCATTGATATATCCTCCATTTATCTAACACCAACTCTTTTGATTTCCCTCTTCATGAAATCTGTTTTTGTATTGAAATCTGTTTTTGTATTATAATATAGTAGATTCCTTGTTATTAACTAAGAAAAGTTCTATCTTTTAAGAAAAATCAATCATATGAAACGATTCAACTTATATCTATATTTAAGATTTGAAAATTACCCTTGTTTTTTCCATACATTATTAACTACTTATTACCTAATATTGAGTGCATTAATTTTAAATACTCTCAGATCTCTTAAATAAGATTAAGATCTCAAATTATAACAAAAATGGACTTTTGATTCTAAGATTTTGATGGTTTCTAAAAAAAATTGTTTTAACCTAAAAAAATTCAAATTTGTTAATGAAAACAGTAACATGATGTGACATGGAAACATAAATGATTTACATTGATTTATATAAAGTGTTAATTTGAATAGTCAGCAAGGTGACCTCAAACGATGTTAATTTATATACTAAAGGTATATCATATAATATGTTTGGTTGTGAAACAGATTTACGATGTTATATAAAAATTATATGGTAGATGATATTAACTTACTGATTGATTTTGTGTTATATGGATCATTAATATTTTTTGAATTCAATGTTATTTCTAATGATAAACATAATAAATTGTAAAAAAAAAATCATACTTATCGATGGCCCATTTTTATATCTTACCCAAGACCTATAAACTGTCAGGAACGGACCCACATAGTTTAGTTCGATTTAAACATGTTTTCGTTTGTTTTTGTTTTTGTTTGATTCTACGGTTTGCAAATTTTATAAGTTCCTTTTGGTTTTTAATATATGGTTTGGGTTTAAGAAAAGCATTTAATGTTGATATAATGAAATTCTAGCAACAAGTTAATGTGAAGTTAACAAGTCATAATGTCATAAGAAATACATCACCCATGTGCCATTTAATTATTTCAAGAAAACTTAATTGATAGACTCATAATCTTAGACAAAAAGTTTGGCTACTCATATATCAAATTTAAGCTTTTCTATTTTAAGTTTATTTTTTTAAACTATGCGTTTTTGGACCGGTTTGTAACATAATTCTGTTGTGTTGGTGATTTTAATGTTATCAAGTCATTTAGTATGATCGGGATTAATGTGAGACAAACTGAAATTAGACTTAGCTATAATTCGAGAGCGGAGGTGCAAAGTGCACGCTCGGATAAGTTAAGTTGATCTCAGGAACACGGGGGTCGGGTCGAGTCAGGGGCGGGGTTCCAAGGGGCATCACCCCTGGTTGTGGTTGTTTTCCAGTCAAACACCCGAACAGTCGCGTCTGTTGGGAACATACATGACTTCCCGCCAAAATAACTGGCTTAACCGTCAGTGGCTATATAAGGCTTCGTTCGATTATTGCAGATTTTCTTCTTCGCACATACTGTTATTCTGCTAGATTTTGTCTCTAAATGAACATAATTACAAGCAAGATATTTTGTGTTTGTGATCTTGGATTTTGCTTGAAATCCAGATTTGTTGTTCTTGGATTAACTCAAATATGATTTCGTGATACCCCAGGTAATAGGGTCGAAATCACAATTTTGGAAAGTATTTTATACATGATCCTCGAATTATCCAAGTAATTTTGATATTCTGTTTCCAACATCTAACATATTGGCTATTCAAGTTAATAGGTAAACGAACCTTGTGATAATCTTGAGAAACATGAACTGGGAACATCTGAACACAAATTCGAGATCTTACGAGATGAAATACCCTTAATGCTTGAGTTTAGATGTGTAGTTTTTCTTAATTATGTCGATCCATTTACCATTACTAAATGCATGGAAGACTTTTTCCTACAGACTTTTCATTAGAAAATTCGTCGCTAAAAGGGTAATTCATGATAAAACCATCACAAACATCTGAACACAAATTCGAGATCTTACGAGATGAAATACCCTTAATGCTTGAGTTTAGATGTGTAGTTTTTCTTAATTATGTCGATCCATTTACCATTACTAAATGCATGGAAGACTTTTTCCTACAGACTTTTCATTAGAAAATTCGTCGCTAAAAGGGTAATTCATGATAAAACCATCACAAACATCGGTGGATAAATTGTTGGTGAGTATTCAAAAATGAAAGATTGCCCAAATATTCTCTAGATGATCCATTGATATTTTCTCGAAAAACATCGGATGCATTTGATTGAAAAGAAATATAATCAATCTCCATTGCTTTTGACTTTTTGTTTGGATCCTATGATGTAGTTTTAAAATCAGAAGTAAATAACATTAATGGGTCATTTATAAAAAATTTACCCGATAAGTGTTTACCGGTAAGATTTAACATTTACTTACCGGGTAAGATTTTATTCCATTAAAATAACACCGTATGCAATAATTTATCCGATAAGCTTTTACCGTGATAAGAGTCGTCGCATTCACTTACCGAGTAAGACTCTTGTTCTTTGTTCATTCGATTTTAATGTTTCGTTTTTTTTTTGTTTTCTCGATGTTATAATATGGTTCTATGTTGTTTTGAGAAAGCGATAATGTTTATATTTTTTAATAAAATATAAATTTGAAGATATGTCATAAAAATTTGAAAAAAATATAAAGTTATCATTTTTTGTTGTAATTTTTTTTTAATTCAAATTTTTATTATAATTTAATTTAGTTTTAATAATGAAGTAATTTATTTTTTGGTTTAATAATGTAATTTTTTATAAAGATAATAATTAAATATTCTGTTAGAACTCAATGATTATTCTAATTATATTTTAATTTTTTATATTTAAATTGATAAATTTATCATACATTTGATTATGTTTATATATATGCAGTTAGTTACACAAATTCAAATATGAAGTTTTAATAAGTTATATTTACGAACTATTTATTTGTAATCTTGAAAGTAAAATTATTATTTAATTAATTAAAAAAAATATAATAATTACCTATTTTTATAATTGTATTTTTCATGGTAGAGATTTATGTTAAGAAAAAAGAAGTAGTTGATAATGCAAAATGAATTAAAATAACATTAAAAATTACTTAATTCTAACTTACAAGAAGCGTAATAGAAAAAGTGAAGAAAACCTCGTAAACTTATTGAAAACTTATCTAAACTCTAAAGTCGTCGTTTAAAAAAATTGGCTTATTACTTACTTTATAACTTATCTAGCAAGACTTTTTCGATAAGCTAAAAAAATCAAACATGTTATTTAACATACAATTAACATGGGAAGCCAATCAAGTTTGCTTATGACTTAATTATTAACATGAGAACAAACAGCCATATATGACTAAACAATTCAGTTCTTCATACCATTAAGCTCATTAATTAAGCTTAAACAAATTAACCATCCATAACTTACCCATGGCGTTAACATATATGAAGAAAAAAAATACTTAGTTTTTCTGGTAATATATATATATATATCTTTCAATCATGGTTAATGTGTAATAAATAATAAATCTTTACAATAAAAAGCATCATATACATCGAAATGGAAAACAATGGTATGTAATAAGGAGATCAAAGCTCATCACGTTGAGTCGATTTTAATTTTGGTTGGATCTTTTGGCTACATGAAGGCGAAGAGCTCAAGGCTTCCAACCAAACATCATCGGCAACTAGCACGGCCGAGTCATCGTTGCGGTGCCACAACCAATGAGCGTGCGTCCCGTTCATTATTCTCAATCGACCGTGTCCAAAGCTTGCTTCCCGATACAACGATATTGAAGGGCTAGGTTCTTTGTATCTGGGGTTCATTCAGATTGAAAGGGTGTCAAAATATATCATTTCATATACAGAAAACACCATAACCAAATGACGTATTTTAGAAACTTACTTCATGGCTAGGCCTTCTCGGTTCCCTCCGTCTCCAATGGTTATGTAAATCGGACCACAAGGATCAGCATTGTTGTCGTAAACCCTTGTCTGAAAAATGTGGTATATCAGGGTTGATATGCAACTAATACTGGTTAATTTTTTTCTTATAACCCTAATTTGAGTCTACTTGCTCACAACTCGATTAGTTCATGAACCCAGAAATTAACAGTCGGGAAACCTCAGATGGCACTGAAAGGACCCGAACCGATGAGTTGGTGACCAATGGGAACAAGCCCAAGTGCTCGCCAATTGTGTTCCCTACTACTTGTGGTTTTTCAAAACCTACAATGGATAAAATGAAATTGGAAGGCTAGAGACTTACAAATCGTTCGTATGCATGAACATGGCCGGCGAAAACCATATCAACACTCGAGTTATACAACATTTCTTCCATGGCTACTCGCATGCTTTCACCTTCGCCTTGATGAGCCGTATTTGAGTTGTACCATGGGGCATGGAGAAGCACGAGAACCCACGGTGTTCTTGATCGATCAATTTTAGCCAAGTCGTTAGCCAACCACTTATATTGATCTGAACCAGTTTTAAAGTCAGCATAAGAACCTAACATAATGATGTGAGTTCCAACAATATCAAACGAGTAATAAAGGTTCGAGTCGGATCCACTTTCTTCGTGTGGCATGGGCCAACGTGCATTGTAGGCTTTGAACCCTTTCGGGTAGATGAGCGGGATCATTTCTTGTTCATGGTTCCCTTGGGTCACCATCCATGGCCTACGACTAGCATATGGCTCAACTAGCCGTCCAAATGAGTCCCAGAGCGGTTGGTGGGTATCGGCATATGATAGGTCGCCAGGTAGGAGCAAAACGTCGTAGTTGCTTGCATTAATATGTTCTAAGGTCGATCTCGTCCATTCAGTCTGTCCAAGATCACCTACGCCCAGACATACTTTCGATAAATACGCGCATATATTAAACCATATGTTGCATTCTTTATACGATAAAAGTTCTCGTATAGAACTGTTCTTTTTGTAACTGTCTTTACCAGTTCAGCTTAACCCATAAAGCCATTTTGATAGTTTTGAGACACCATTCAAATGAGATTCAAATTGTACTTATAATTTGGATGAAAAGCAGTGGAAGATTAATCATGAAAGTATGTATAGGAAGGTACGAACCAACAACTACAAACTCGATTGGGAAGGTGGCAGGCGGTGTTCGAAAGTTAAACTCTGGGCCAGAACCACCACACCGGTAGTAATACGTGGTGGCTGGATCTAGTGGTCCGATTGTCACATGATGGATCTTCCCAGAACTGTAGAAGAAATAGCTATAAGTTGTGTATTCTCCGGTGGCCGATGAGTCATAAATCCCCGGAGTTTTTCCGTAGTCCACCGTAGACGGCACATCGGTTTCGTCAGTCACCCATGAAACCTTCATGTAGTTGTTTCCGACCAACGATACATGCACCTAAAATGGTTTTGTACCAGTAAAATAATGTTTTCAATCTTAATTCCACACACACACACACTCATATTATAATTATACAATATATATATATAGAGGGAGAGAGAGAGAGAGAGAGAGACCTGTTGAGGATGAGATAGGGGAGCATCATGATAGGTGTAAACAAGGGGTCGTGGTGGTTGACGGTTGAAATCCACGGAAGCATCGTGTGGTCGGAGGCGGAGGAGGAAGGAGAGGAGGAGGAGTAAGTATGGCATGGCAATTAGTAAACTCAAAGTGTTGGAGAATGTGTGTATATATTATATATATATATATATGTATATATGTATATATATATATATATATGTATAGGAAGGATTAAACGATAATGTTCTCCGTTTAAAAGTACATGAAAACGGGTAAATTATATGCAAAATCATGTGATTTTATATTAATTGTAAAAAAAGTGTCCGGGGGACTTGTGGTTGCGTCTTCAGGTCGCCGGACAAGATTGCCTGAATCACATGTGATTTTGTATGAGATGTTACTGTAAAATTACACGTAATTCGTCCGTTTCATGTTATTTTAAATAGGTAATGTTCTCATTTGATCCCCTCTCTCTCTAAATATGTACATATAGAGGGACATGGTTTAAACGAGAACACTATGTATTTAAGAAACAAGAAAAATGTCATTAATATACAAAATCATATATGATTCATAGTACAAAATCATACATGGTTCACATTTACATATTCACGTATAAAATCATACATGATTCACACACACATATATAAATATATTCACGTACAAAATCATACAGATTCAAAAGTCGTGCGCTTCCGTTAATGTGAAATCACATATGATTTTGTACATTAACTACTTTTTTCTTAAATAGTTAGTGCTATCGTTTGAACCTTCTTCTCTCCCTCTTTCTCTATGTATATATATAGAGATAGACTTGAGATCATGTGAGACTAGTTTGTTTACATGAGACCCGTGAGACCACTTTTTTCCGCTTGAAACTTTACAGCAAGACACTGTGAGTCGAATCTTCACAGTGTTTTTTGCTGTGAAACTTCAAGTAAAAAATTGTCACGGATCTCACGAAAACAGCCTCGTCTCATGTGAACTCAATAATATATATATATATATATATATATATATATATATAGAGAGAGAGAGAGAGAGAGAGAGAGAGAGATGATAAAGATTATATATGAATACAAGGCCGTGAAGGAAGATGCAAATTTGGTACTCTTTTGTCTACGGATATGCTCTCACCATTCAACTGTCCTTCGACATATTAGGCACGTAATATCCATATGTATTGATCTAGATTTATATGTCCACACATTTTGTATATCAAATACACATTCCCACATACATCAATAATAACATCAATTTGAAATAAAATAAATCACAAAAACCTTACGTATCCAATAAAACCAATTTCATATGTTAGTATTTAAGATATTAATTAACATATATATTTGTTAATCAGTATTTTTAATTCGCATTTTCGATCACAAGCTATTCAAGTTCTCGAGCCAAGCTTGAGTACGTATCAAAAAGACCCGTACGTGAAGAATTCAACAAAGCTTTTAACTTATATATATACACACGTCTCGTTTATAATTCAAAACCTACCTTTTTCCCGAAAAGTGGTATCCTTTGGATCCCAAAAGGGTTTATATATATGGAAAATATAATCGACTTGAATAAAAAAATAAAAACAAATTCAATTCAATTTAATTTGGTTGTTTTTGTGGTTTTGTAGGTATAGAGATATCCGAGGGGCATATTCCTTTGGATCCACAAATGTCGCTAAGTTATTTATGAATACACATAAAGAAAGTCGTGCATTGACTATTCATCCATTCCAAAACTAGTTAAACGTACACGTTTTGGAGTTGGCTTCTAAGTTGGATATCACATGATAAAGTAGTTAACTCAAAACTTATGTGATCTTTAGTTTAATCATCTATGTATAGTTTCTTATTTCATAACAAATATATATATATATATATATATGTGTGTGTGTGTGTGTGTGTGTGTGTTATTCGGATTAGAAAAGAATAATTCATGTCGATGAAGCAATCAAGAGAGTCAATAAGAGATGAACGATAGTGAATATTATTAAGGTTTTCTAAACAATAAGGCAAAAGAGGACCGGTAAGAATGACGAAGAAAAGGTGCTTACTTGAGATTTAATAAGAACAAACAATGAATGAGACGTAGGACCTCTTGAGCAATTAAATAAAATCTTGTGGTGTGTAGTGGAATACCAATAAAAGATGAAAAAACTAAAACAATCGATCAAAATATTTGAATTTCTTTATCTTTTTTTTTCTTATTATACAAAAATAAGATGTTAGGGTTAAAAGTTTATGGAATATGTGTAACACCCTGAAATCTAAAGAAAAAAACAAAAAAAAATTTAAATTTTTATACCACATCAAATAATGAATAAAATCATTTCGAATGATAAATACTTAATTAGCTATAGTGGAATTCTGAGATTTAACATCAATTAAAAATGAACCAAATCTTACATAAGGTCTAGATTAGGGACATGTGTTATTAAAATTTAATAACAATCACTAACTCTAAAATACTGAAGATGCTCCTGAATAGCTAAATCTTTCATGTGCCTATAACTAGCACTTAACTCTTTACAGTGACACTAGTATCATTCCCCAACATGGACCTGACGCACATGCTGACAAGGAAAAAGTACTAGGTTTAATGCCTGGTGAGCTTAAATAGTTTTCATTTTTAAGATAAAACATAAAAAATGTTATTTAATTCATAATTTCTCAAATGAAATGTACTTAATATAAAAACAATTTTTTTTTCAAACCTCATCATTTTCGTGATGAATACTCGATGATTAAAGCACCCATATTAACATGAAACCAAAGTCAATATTCATTCAAAGCGTGAATAAAATTTAATATTCATATACATAAAACATTGATAAAAGTCTATTATCCAAAAGACACAAAACATGGATAAGGTTCAATATTCGAAACCACAACTCATGGATAACATTCTCTTTATACTCGAAACATCACTGGAAACATGGATAATACTAATCACATGGTTTGTGGTGTAGTGGTTGAGGCCATAGGGGATGTGGTGGAATATCCATCTGCCTAAGGTTCGATTCAAGGCATACACAACAATTTTGACCACTGAATTTATCACGTTGATTTCTTGCAATCATAATTTACCAAGAATAATCTAAGCATAGCCTAGGAAACCCTTCAAAAAGACATGGATAATATTCAACACCAAAACAACAACACCTTTCAGTGATCGGGGAGACCCATTTCCATCAATCGTGGTGAAAGACAAAATAATCCATTTATCAGTGTTATCTAGTAGTACCCTCAGGTCACGGTCCTGACGTCTAACTCCTCAAGTTTAATTCCACCACAATACCTGAAGTCATGGAGCCCGACTCCATACGAGTTCATCTATGTAATACCCTCGACCTTAGTGCCTACTTACACACCATATAGTTACACCTACAAGTCAATGGTCATAGGGTCCGACTTCACACGAGTTCATCCCTAAAGTAGCCCCTTAGTGTGAACTCTACTAGGCCAAAGTCTCAAAACAAGGGTCCTGGTGCCCGACTCCCCATGAGTTCATCACTGTAATACCTAAGGTCCCGGAGTCCGACTCAAGACTGGAGTCTAACTCACATGAGTCCCTCTCCGCTGGAGTCCGATCCTACATTGGTTCCTCTCAATAATACCTACAATCCGGGAATCTAACTCATAAGGGTTACTTTTGGCAATATCGAGGCAATCACATAGCTTATTCAAGCACTGGGTACATGCCTATGCATCCATTGCAATACATTCTAAATTACACGACTCCAGTTGTATGACCGACCCACTCAAAACATGCAATTCTTAAATAAAGATGCATTAAATGCAAATCATGTCTGAGCTCAATATTGAGCAATTTAAATAGCAAAAATGTCTCCAAAACTCAAATGGATCAAAATCAAGCCAATAACTCCACACTTATTTTGACTACTCAATAAAGGTAAACATAAGCAATAATAACACATTTAACCATCGTTTATGCAAATACATGCTCCTAAAGTATGATTAACTCAAAAACCCATCATTTGTTGAGACAAATCATTTTCCAAATGAAATCATACTTTTTATATTCCAAATACAAAAGACGATAAGTTTTCCAAACGGTTTATAAAACCAAATACACTAAAAGTGCATTAACATAAAATAATCTTCATTTATACCTTGAATCATCAAATGAAACATGATCTTAGGATTTTTTTATCAAAATTTTCAAAAGCCCCAATCTAGACATTTCACAAGATTTATAAAATCAAATGTACCAAAGATGTAAATCTCATCAAATAATCAACACATTTGATAAATATCAAGAAAACATCTTAAGACTCCTGAATGGACATTTTTGCAATGTACACAGTTTCACAAATCAACTTGAACTCGTTTTGCTAGGTTAGGTAAAACCTAGTTTTCAAACCCAAATCTTTAGCTTCTAAAATGGAGACTTGAGATCCATAATAAAACATTGATAGAAACCTTATCTTGGTCACAATCAAGAATATAAATACAACAAATATGGTTATAAGAACTTCTCAAAACCCCCAAATGTAACTCAAAACACCCAAAAGCTTACCTCTTCAATAATCTTGAGACCACCCACTATAAACCTTCAATCTCTAAAGTTCACCTCTCCATTTGCTCCAAAAATGCCACAAAAACGTCCCGAAAGTGCTAAATCGCCAAGAGAGAGGGGAGGGAAGATGGTGGAGGAAATTGGTGAAAAACCCTAAAAATCGAGTTTAAAAGATGTTCTAGGGGCTTTCAACGACCTAAATTGCAGGCCAAGTCGCCTGTGTCCAAAATCATGCCAAACAGATGTTCCTGCGACTGATCAGGCATGGGTCAGGCAGTGCGTGCCGCGGGCCACGTTGTCCCAGATCATGTCCTGCCATGTCACCCATATCACATGAATCGATCGTTCCCCGACCGTTTCTTGGTTGTTTCCTAACAGTTTCCCAACCATTTTTCGGTCATTTCCCAAGGGAATTATGGGTATTACAATATGACAGACATAATGGAGTTAACTGAAAGTATTTAATACGGAAAATTTGATTAATCACAAACCCATCGATAGGTCATCAAACAACAATACGATATCAAGTATAAAAGCAAAAATAAGTAGCAATAGCCAGCAAAATCGATTACACTAATAACATAAGAAGATATCAATAGCCAGCAAAATCAATAATAAGT